TGGCCTAGGAGGCCCCGGATAGCCAGCGCGCCCAGACTGAGGGTCCCCAGGACGTGCCTCCCGCCCCACTCCTCCACCGCAGGGAGTTCGGGGCTGCTGGCATGGGCACTAGGCAGTCACCCCGATGGGGTTGAGCGCCAGGTTCTCAGTTCTCGACCCTGTGCAGCCGCCGCCGCCGGGCAGAATGCCTGGCTTGGCCGCGGCCCCCGGTACACCTGGTCCTGGTTCTGCGATGCTGGGAGTGCGAGCAGGCTCGGGAGTTGCCAGGCGGCTGCTGCCTGCACACAGAGCGGACTGCAGCTTGGGCGCCCAGGCTGCAGAACATGGTCTGGGTGGGCTCCGGATGCGAGCGCGCCAGGCCTGTTGGCCCCCAACTGGACCCGCCCCGCTCCTCCTCTGCTGGAGCCTGGAGCAGCTGGAATGGCCACTCTGCAGTCACCGGGGATGGAGTTAAGTTTTCTTATCCCACGCATGCACACAAAAAGGTAACTATTATCTGAGGTAATTAACGCGTTGTTTGACTACATTTTGGTAATCATTTCAGAATGTGCATATAGATATAAACACATCACACTTTACACCTTGAATGTGTACAATTTTTATTTCTCTATTATACCTCAGTAAAGCTGAAAAAATTAACAGGATTGAAAGGATAACAGTTCTATAGTAGTAGTTGGACACTTCAATACCTTATCTTAATTAATGGATAGAAAAACCAGATAGAAGCTTCATGAGAAATGGAAGACTTGAACAACCGTATAAGCCATTTAGAGCTAATATACACATATACAGAACAGTCCACCCAACAACAGCAGAATATACATTCTTTTCAGGCGGATATGGAACTTTCTCTAGGATAGGCCATATCTTCGTCCGCAAAATAGGTCCTAAAATGACTTTTAAATCATTTTAAAAAGCTTGAAATAATACCAAATATAATTTACAACCACAATGGAAGAAACAACAGATACATAAAAAATGAAAACTCGAAAATTCACAAATACGTGGAAATTAAACAATACACTCTTAAACTACCAGTGAGTGAAGGAATAAATCACAAGTGAAGTTATAAAACATCTTGAGACAAAATAAAAACAAAATATACCAAAATGTATCGAATACAGTGAAAGTAGAGTTCAAAGGAAAATGTATGAATATAAACAACTACATTTAAGAAAAAAATCTCAAATCAGTAACCTCATTCTATACCTAAGGGCGGTAGAAAAAAACCAAACAAACAAAAAAGACTAAATCCAAAGCTAGAAGAAGGAAAGAAATAATAAAGATTAGCGCATAAATCAATAAATTAGAAGGTTGGAAAGCAGCAGAAATAAACATAGCTAAAAGTTGATTCTTTGAAAGATCAAACCTTTCACTATATTGACTGAACAAAAGATGGAAGACTCAGTATTAAAATCATAAATGAAAGTGGCACCATTACTACCAACTTTACAGAAATAAAAAAAGGATTATAGGACTACACTATAAAAATTCTGGACGATGACATTGAAAAAACCCTTCTAGACATTGGCTTAGGTGAGGATTTCATGACTGAGAACCCAAAAGCAAATGCAAGAAAAACAAAGATAAATAGGTGGGATTTAGTTAAACTAAAGAGCTTTTTCACGGCAAAAGGAACAGTCAGCAGAGTAAACAGACAATCCACAGAATGGTAGAAAATCTTCACAATCTGTATATCTGATAAAAGACTAATATCCAGAATCTACAATGAGCTCAAACAAATTAGCAAGAAAAACAAACAAACAAACAAAAAATCCCATCAAAAAGTAGGCTAAGGACATGAATAGACAATTCTTTGGCCACTTTTTAATAGCGTTTTTCTCTTGTAAATTTATTTAAGTTCCTTATGTTGAATGCTAGACCTTTATCAGATACATAGTTTGTAAATGTTTTTTCATTCTGTAGGTTGTCTATTCACTCTATCGATAATTTCTTTTGCCGAGCAGAAGCTTTTAAGTTTAATTAGATCCCACTTGTCAATATTTGCATTTGTTGTAATTGTTTTTGGTGACTTTATCATGAAATATTTGCCTGTTTCTATGTCCAGGATGGTATTGCCTAGGTTGTCTTCCAGGACTTTATAGTTTTGGGTTTTACATTTAAGTCTTTAACCCATCTTGAGATGATTTTTGTATATGGTGTAAGGAAGAAGTCCGGCTTCAATCTTCTTCATATGGCTAGCCAGTTATCCGAGAACGGTTTATTGAATTGGGAGTCTTTTCCCTGTTGTTTGTTTTTGCCAGCTTTGTCAAAGATTAGATAGTTGTAGGTGTGTGATCTTATTTCTGATATCTATTCTCTTGGTGAGTGTGTCTGTTTTTGTACCAGTATCATGCTGTTTTAGTTACTGTAGTGCTGTAGTATAGTTTGAAGTCAGGTAATGTGATGCCTCAAGCTTTGTTCTTTTTGCTTAGGATTGCCTTGGCTGCTTAGATTCTTTCTTGGTTCTACATGAATTATTAAATAGCTTTTTCCAGTTCCATGAAGCATGTCATTGGTAGTTTAATAGGAATAGCTTTGGGCAGTATGGCCATTTAAATGATATTAATTCCTTCTCTCCATTAACATGGAATAATTTTTCATTTCTTTGTGTCTTCTCTGACTTCTTTGAGCAGTGTTTTGTAATTTTCATTGTAAAGATCTTTCAGTTCCATGATTAGCTGTATTCCTAGGTATTTTATTCTTTTTGTGGAAATTGTGAATAAAATTGCCTTTCCAATTTGGCTCTCAGTTTGGCTTTTCCTGGTGTATAGGAATGCTAGCAAATTTTGTATATTGATTTTTTTATCCTGAAACTTTGTGGAAGTTGTTTATCAGCTTAAGGAGCTTCTTGGGTAACAGCTATAGGGTTTAGATAAGAGAATTATGTTGTCTGCAAACAGAGGTAGTTGGACTTCTCTTTCTATTTAAATACCCTTTATTTCTTTCTCTTGTCTGATTTCTCGAGCAAGGACTTCTAATACTGTGTTCTATAGGAGTGGTGAGACAGTTTCAAGGAGAATGCTTCCAGGGTTTGCTCACTCAGTATAATGTTGGCTGTGAGTTTGTCATAGGTGGCTTTTATTATTTTGAGGTGTGTTCCTTCAATACCTCATTTGTTGAGAGTTTTTAACATGAAGCATTATTGAATTTTACTGAAAGCCTTTTCTGCACCTAGTGAGACAATCACATGGTTCTTGTCTTAGTTTTATTTATGTTATGAATCACATTTTATTGATTTGCCCACGAGGGACCAACCTTCCATTCCAGGGAAAAAGCCTGCTTCACTGTGGTGAATTACCCTTTTATGTGCTGCTGGATTCGGTTTGCAAGGATTTTGTTGTAGATTATTGAATGGATGTTCATCAAGGATACTGGCCTGAAGCTTTCTTTTTTTGTTGTGTCACTACCAGGCGTTGGTATCAGGATCATGCTGGCCTCGTCGAACAAGTTGGGGAGGAGTCCCTTCTCTATTTCTTGAAATCGTTTTAGTAGGAGTGGTACTGGCTCCTCTTTGTACATCTGTTAAAATTTGACTGTTAATCTATCAGGTCCTGGGCTTTTTTGGGGGGTTGGTAGGCTATTTACTACTGATTCAATTTTTGGAGCTCATAATTGGTCTGTTCAGAGACTGAATTTCTTCCTGGTTCAGTCTTGAGAGGATGTATGTGTCCAGGAATTTATCCATCTCTTCTAGGGTTTATAGTTTGTGTGTCTATACACACAAAAAGGTGTTCATAGTAGTTGCTGATTGTTATTTTTGTTTCTGTGGCATCAGTGGTAACATTCCCTTCATCATTTCTGATTGTGTTTATTTGAATTCTGTTTTCTTCATTAGTCTAGCTAGCGCCTATCTATCTTAATTTTTTCAAAAAACCTTGATTAAGTGATCTTTTGAACAGTTTTTCATGTCTCAATGTTTTTCAGTTCACCTCTGATTTTATTTATTTCTTGTCTTCTGCAAGCTTTGTGGTTGATTTCTTCTTGCTTCTGTGATTCTTTCAGTTGTAATGTTAGGTTGTTAATTTAAGATCTTTCTAACTTTTTGATGTGGGCATTACTTCTTATGCCCTACCCTAACTTACCTCCTTCTCCTAGAAAACTCAGAACCATGCTTTCTAAACCAATTCAAACTTTCTCAGTGAATCAACCTGGTCTCCCTGAGGCAAAGTTAGCAATTTTCCGTTTGACATGGTTTGCTTTCTCTGTAAGAATGTCTAACGCAACAATGCAAGTGTTTTATTCCCTCCTGGATATGCGGGGAACTCCTTTTGGCTGAGACCAAGACTTAAAACTTTGTTCTTTCAACGTTAATGAAGATCTACTTAGAAAGTCTCCATTTTTACAAGAAAGGTATATAAATACCAATGAAAATAAATATAAAGTTATATGACATACAATTATATTGTGAAAAGGCTGAATAAATAAATGAACCAACCTCTAAGAAAGAAAGAAGATGATATAAAATGATATATAAATGAAAAACCTGAGCTGGTATGGCATAATTAATGAAGGGGGCCTGCCCCTCCACACCTATGGGTATTTCTCACAAGGTGGAGACGAGAGACTGTGAAAAGAAATAAGACACAAAGTATAGAGGAAGAAAAGTGGGCCCAGGGGACTGGCACTCAGCAAGTGAGGGCCTGCACCGGTACTGGTCTCTGAGTTCTCTCAGTATTTATTGATCACTGTTTCTACTATCTTGGCGAGGGGGATGTGGCAGGACTATAGGGTAATGGTGGGGGAGGGTCAGTAGGAAAACATGTGGGCAAAGGAATCTGTGTCATAAATAAGTTTAAGGAAAGGTGCTGTGCCTGGATGTGCACGTAGGCCACATTTATGTTTAACTTTACACAAACATCTCAGTGCAGTAAAGAGCAGTATTGCCACCAGCATGTCTCACCTCCAGCCATAGGGTGGTTTTCTCCTATCTCAGTAAATAGAATGTATGGTCAGGTTTTACACTGAGACATTCCATTCCCAGTGATGAGCAGGAGACAGATGCTTCCTCTTATCTCAACTGCAAAGAGGCCTTCCTCTTGCACTAATCCTCCTCAGCACAGACCCTTTACGGGTGTCAGGCTGGGAGACTGTAAGGTCTTTCCCTTCCCACGAGGCCATTTCTCAGGTTGTCTCGGGGTGGAAAACCGGGAAAATACCCAGGCTTTCTTGAGCAGAGGTCCCTGTGGCTTTCTGCAGTGCATTGTGTCCCTGGTTAATAGAGAACGGAGAATGCCGATGACTTTTACCAAGCATACTGCCTGCACACACATTTTTAACAAAGCACATCCTGCACAGCCCTATATTCCCTAAACCTTGAGTCAATACAGCACATGTTTCTGTGAGCACAGGGTTGGGGCTAAGGTTACAGATTAACAGCATCTCAAAACAAGAATTTTTCTTAGTACAGATCAAAATGGAGTTTCTTATGTCTTCCTTTTTCTACATAGACACAGTAACAGTTGGATCTCTCTTTCTTTCCCCCACAATTAATGTACCAGTAAAGTACGTGCATTGCAGAAGTGGCAGGAAAACTGCATACAGGGTGATACCTGACCAAAAGCTTTAAGGAAAGGTCAGATCTCTGTATGGAGATTGGAAGGGGAGACAAGGAGAGGCTAGAAAATATACATTGTTTGATCTATACCCTTAAAAGGAATTAAAGAGGACTCAGGAAAACATGGTCTGCTTTAGGAGAAGGACACATGTTCCATGCTGGCCAAGGCTCAGAGCATCCCTACCTTCTCCAGGAGGAAATGGGAGGCAAAGGAGCAGGCAGACTGCAGCATGGCCAGGTCAGCACCGGGCACCCAGGCCAAGCCAGGTGGGCTCCATTGTACAGGTAGGGAGGAGCCACTGCAGGGTGGGCTTTATTAATTGGTTTGTTTTGTTTTCTTTAGTAACAAAGACACATGATCAAAGTTGACCTTTGCAGGTGTTGCTGCAGCTGAACATAGGATAGATAAAACCAGTGTTTTAAAAATTATGTTGTATAGAGCACTAGCCCCAGTGAGATATTAGTGGAACACACAGGCGCGCGCGTGCGCACACACACACACACACTCATACTGAGCCCAGATTATTCTGGCAAATGCTGGGTTAAGCAAACCAAAAGAAACATCCTTAGTGCTGGACTTCTCAGAACCTGGAATGTGGCTATATGACTCATAAAACAGCAAGGTTAAGATAGAGCATGTCATTTTTTCCAGAAATGTTGAAACACTTTCCTTCCCTTGGCTTCAGTGTCACCTTCTTTCTCCTGGTTCTCTATCAACCTCTTTGGCTGCTCCTTCTTGATTTCCTTCTTGACAATCTGCTGCTGCTCAGCCATTCTCTTTTCATTCCCTGTGGATTTCTCAAGTGTGTTTCTATTCCTGCAGATTAAACTTTCCTCGTTTTTCCTGACACCTCTCCTTGTCTGACCCTCCCCCGTTCTGAGGCAGGTGTTCTATCTGTGTGCGCTTTTGGTATCCTGGGATGCTCCCAGCGTGTTCCCTGACACACTCCATCAGGTTTTCTCCCCGAGACTCTGCGAGGGCAGCAGCCTTGTCTCCACTGTTCCTTCAACGCTCAGCACATAACACAGAAGCTGACTCCATAACATTTAGTTGGTCAGCTGAGACTAAATGTATGTTCCTCTAGATCTTAAAAAGTTGAAAAAGCAACATAGCGCAATAGTCAAAATAAGTCTCTTTACTCAAGAGTTCTCTGTATATGCACAATAGTTTGAAGTCATTATTAGGCAAAGTGAAACAGAAACTGTCACAAAGTTCCCTAAGATAAAATTATTTTGCTTTAATCTTCAATTCATCATGTGAGATGATCAAGACCATGTGTTATTGTAAATATTTCTAGCTTACAACACAACAACCTGATTTTTATTGTTTGAAATAACCACAATATAAATCAGTTAACTACAAATTTTATAAATAATCCTTTCAAATAAAATTCTGTCTAAATTTTACATTACTCATATATTCAAATGATAACATGCTCATAGGCTTTTCCAATACCTCAGTCAAAACATTGTACTGATTCCAGCTGTGGGAACAGTATCTGAGAGTTATGTTACAGATGGGGAAAAGGTACTTACCTGACATTGGCCTTTGCACGACTGTGCCCTTTTGGGTCAGCGAAAAGCTGTTCCCTTAAAATCCTAAAATCTGTTCTGTCAGGTCTGAAGGGTGGGTGGGAAACACAGCTTTTAAAATGTTAGCCACAGATGTTTTATTCCTTGCTTAAAGCAGTGACTAGATAAAGGTCACCAGAAGAGTCTCTAGTGTTTCTTCAGAAGCAGCATGCCGGAGAGCATCTTCCTGAAACACTCCCCTATCTCTACCCAAAACCACCTTAGGTAGGAAAGTCAAAACTCAGCAGGCTGAGGAGATCCAAGGGGATCACTGAGCTCTGAGGCTTATGAGAGAAGAGAGAGGTCTAAGATTTTTGTGTATAAATTTATGGGTTACAAGTGCCATTTTGCTGTCAGCATGGATGGCATAGTGAAGTCAGGGCCTTTAGGGTATCCATCACTGGAATAATGCACATCGTACCCGTTAAGTAATTTCTCACTGTTCACCCCGTCCATCCCCTCACCCTGCTGAGTCTCCACTATCATTCCACTCTCTACATCAATACCTACACATCTTTTAGCACCCACTTATGAGTGATAAAATATGACGTTTACTCTGTGTCTGGCTTGCTTCACGTAAAGGCTTCCAGTTCCATCCATGTGCCTGCAAAAGATACTTTTTGTGCCTGAATAGTATTTCATTGTGTATATTTTCTACATTTTCTCCTCCAATCACCTGTTGATGGACATTTAGGTTGATTTTATATCTGTGCTACTGTGAATAGTGTTGCAACAAACATACAAGTACAGATATCTTTCTGATACATTGACTTCTTTTCCTTTGCGTACTCAGTGGTGGGATTGCTGAATCAGACAGAGCCAATTGATAATCAGTAATGGTGGCCAATAACCAGCTAGAAACAAAGTACTTAGCAGGGCCTGAAAATGCCAAAACCCCGAGGCCACTGACCTTCAAAAACTTCAACAGCCCTGAGTGAAACGTCCAAACACATTTATCCACCGTTCCAAGACCCTTTATTGTCTGTCTTCCGTGCATCTTAGAAGTCTCTTTTTACCACAGTCTGTATACTGCATGAGCCTTATACAGACAGTGTGTACCTGAAACTCAGGTAGTTTATATGAAACTCATTTATATGAAACTACCTGACACTCCAAGGCATCTTATACTATGTATTCAACCATGTATCCCTAGTACCTAGCACAGTCCTGGCATAGAGTTTGCTACTAAACGTTTGCGGAATGAAGTAATTATCTTGTACCCATGTTCCAAGTTTTAAGGTGATTTCTCACTAAAAATGAAGTATTACAGTTCACAAATAATCTACTTCCTTTTTTACAGATGGGATTAATTTTAATCTTATCCCCTAATAACATTATTTTCATTTACTTCCATCTAAATACACTGTCCTAAGAGAGCAATAAGAAGGAGAGTTGAAGCTGGAGCTTGAAGAATTGTACAGGGTCCACACTGTGGCCTGGGGTGCATCGCCCACCTGAGCTTCATCTGTTAGGTATGTCAGGGAAGATAAACAGGTGAGAGTGGCCTCATCAGAGGACCCCAGATCTCTGGCTTCCCCGTCGGGCAAGTGCACCTCTGTGAACAAGGTCTTCAGAGCCAGATGACAAGAACGGTCCAAGCAGTCCACCAGGGAAACCTGGGCCCAGTGTACATCAATGCAGAGCATCAAGCACAGCATAACAGGAGTACAGTTGCCTAGTCCTGTTCAGAGATAACTGCATCCCACACACTGTAAAATGAGGAAATGCAGAGAAACAGATGTAGCTGAAGAAGACAGCAGGAGCAACAAGGAGGGACAACCATGAACTAGGAGGGCACCATGCCAGAGACACCTGGACCCCACGCTAGGCTCAGTGCCTGTTATACTCTTGGGACCCAGCACTTTCCCTCTCCATCACGTGGCATACTTGGCGTTATTTGTTGTTTAAAATATTGTCCTTAGTTTTCACCTTTCCTAGGAGACACAGGCAGACCCTGTGACACTACAGCTCCTGACACACAGTAGGGGCATCACAAACATCGGCTGGGTTCACACACTCTTGCCTTCTGAAAGCTTCTTGTCAAGCCTTCAGTGAAAAGGAATTGCTGATTGAGCAAGAATTAAGCTTCTAGAGACTCCTGGATCCATTGAGACAAGGTGAGATTTGTTTACTGCCATATTCCTAGCTGATAGCATACTGTAGTCACTTAATAAATGTTTGTTAAATAAGTGAGTGAATTGATTCATACATCTTACTTAGCTATATGTTTTCTGAGTAAAACTGATACATTTAATACTTTACTTCTGGTATAATTTTACTTCACTTATTCAACGAACCTGACAATTCAACTAGGTGCCAGGCACACAGCTGCTGAAGAAAAAGAGGTATAAGATACAGTTCCTGTCTACATGAAAGCCACAGTCTAAAAAGTAGAAACATATGAACAAATTATAACAATAAATTGGCTGAATTCAAAATCATAGGGGTTTGTTTCTATTTTAAACAGCTCTAGTCAGGAAGTGTTAGAAAGTTCTAAACAGGAAATGTTGCAACACACCATCTAAGCATGAAGCAGAAGCCACCCATAATTGAGTTTGCTACCACCAACCCCAACAGCAAGAATTCCAGTCCTGCTGCTGCAACCTAAGTGTCACTCTGATTTTATTCCTGCTGTGTAACCCGGTTTCAGACACTCTGATTTTATTCCTGCTGTGTAACCCGGTTTCAGACACTCTGATTTTATTCCTGCTGTGTAACCCAGTTTCAGACACTCTGATTTTATTCCTGCTGTGTAACCCAGTTTCAGACATTCTGATTTTATTCCTGCTGTGTAACCCGGTTTCAGACACTCTGGTTGTCACTTAATGTTCTAAAAAGGTATTAAAGAGAAAATATTATTATGGTGATGAGCCCATTCACTGTAGCCATCTCAACATCATACCAATTATAAGGCCTATCATGTAAAAATAAAACTGTTTAATTTATTTATCCAGATATCAGTGTTACATAAACATATTTGCCATCAGACTTTGGATTTATGGGTTAAATAGCATATAAATGTGATTAGAGGCTTAAAATTTACACCTTTCTGGTTCTCTCAAATTTTTTTTCAAAATAGCATATGCCTTTCTAAACAATTGTTAGTATATTTAAAAAAATAAACATTAAACTGTATATTTTCCAAAAACAAAATACAGCTCCCATTGGTAAATGATGATGTTGAGATCCAACAGACAACTTCTCTTGGGAACCATTTAATCACTGCTCACTTTTACATATGTCCAGAAATGTCAATGGCTTTAAAATATGGAAGTATATTACACAACTTAACTTACACTTATTCAGTATTGTGCAATATTTAGTACTTGTTCTAGCTCTCTCTTGCTGAATAGTAAGCCATTGCAAAACTTAAGGAATTACTTATTGTTTAATATTGTTTATTGCCATTATTTGTTTAGTAATTTTAAATAACATTATTTCTCATGGTTTTGTGGGTTGACGGGCGCTACAAAAGTTCTTTTGGAGTCTTTCTTGCAGCTGCGGTTGGTTGGCTGCTGCTGAAGTCCCCTGAAAGCTCAGCAAGGCTAAAGAGCCTGGACGGGCTACTCGCCTGGCTGGCAGTGCACACGGGCTGTTGTGTGTGGTGGTTACTCGCCTGGCTGGCAGTGCACACGGGCTGTTGTGTGTGATGGTTACTCGCCTGGCTGGCAGTGCACACGGGCTGTTGTGTGTGATGGTTACTCGCCTGGCTGGCAGTGCACACGGGCTGTTGTGTGTGGTGGTTACTCGCCTGGCTGGCAGTGCACACGGGCTGTTGTGTGTGGTGGTTACTCACCTGGCTGGCAGTGCACACTGGCTGCTGTGTGTGATGGTTACTCGCCTGGCTGGCAGTGCACACGGGCTGTTGTGTGTGGTGGTTACTCGCCTGGCTGGCAGTGCATATTGGCTGCTGTGTGTGATGCCTGTCTGACTCTCCATGTTACCTGGAGTCCCCTGAAAGCTCAGCTAGGCTAAAGAGCCTAGATGGGTTACTCGCCTGGCTGTCAGTGCACATTGGCTGCTGCGTGTGGTCCTGTCTGACTCTCCATGTTACCTGGAGTCCTCACGACATAGTAGTTGGTCCCAAGACACACAGGCAAATACCACACAGCTTCTTATGACCTGGCCTTGGAGGTCCTAGAGTATGACTTCTGCTGCGTCCTGTTGGTAAAGCAAGTCATTGTGAGCAGCACAGATTCAAGAAATGGGAGACTAGACTCTACCTGTTAATGTAAAGAGCAGCATGAGCATGCAGGGAGGAAAGAAATTGAGGGCATCATCTTGAAGACTATCTTATCACACCATTATTCCAACTAATGGACATTATGTTTTAGATGGGTAGTACGAGCTACTCATCTCTCCCCCAGAAACCCAAGCTAGGCATGGACATATTGAAAAGAATGTCAGTACCATTGAACACCTAGAAATATCACATGTGATGACTCAGGTTAATTCAGTCTGTCAATTACATCAATATAATTCCCTTCTTGTAACCCTAAATATGGTAACATAGAATTGAATTCTACAAAAGTCTTTCATTTGTTTTCCTATGGAATAATTAACAAACCCAATAAATGTGTAAATAGTATGAAGTCCAATTTATTTTAGATTTATACCTCTTAATTTCAAAGCTTATAGAAATCCAGAGAACCAATCATCATAATCCATAATGCCTGGACCAGAAGTCATTGTTCTAAGAGTATCCTGTGGCACGCTGAAAATGTATTACCAACTAGGAAATTTAAAACTCTTTTGTTGGTGACTTTAAGAGAGCTGACCAGCTCATCAGCACAATTCGCACAGATTAAGAATGGAGGTTACTCTGCTGAGTGTGTTCATAATGATCAGAAAAAAAATCACAAATGAGAAAAGAAGATAGAGAAGGGGAAACATACTGTCAGTCACTAAAATTAAAGTTAATTTTCAAATGGTCTGATTTTGTATTTTTCAAAAGAAAGGCAGCTTATTGTGATAGAATAAGAATCCCATTTGTATGTCTTCTTTTGAGAAGTGTCTGCTTATGTCCCTTGTCAATGTTTTAGTGACATGGTTTTCTTAATGTTCAACATCCCTAATCATCAGAAAAATGCAAATCAATGTAAGATACCATCAGTATTATTCAGTATGGCTACTACTAAAAAGTAAAAAAAATAACAAATTCTGGTTAGACTTCAGAGAAAATAAAATGCTTATACACTGTTGGTGAGAATGTAAATTAGTTCAGCCACTGTGAAAAGCAGTTTGGAGATTTTTCAAAGAATTTAAAACAGAAGTACCATTCAACCAGCAATTCCAGTACTGAGTATATATCCAAAAGAAAATTTAAAATTCTACGAAAAGAAACCCACATGCACTTGTATATTCATCATATTGCTATTCACATTAGGGAAGGCATGAAATTAACTTATGTGTGAATCAATAAACTGAATAGAAATATGTGCTATATAAACACCATAGAATACTATGCACACATTAAAAAGAATACAGTCATGTCCTGTGCGGCACCATGGATACGTCTGGAGGCCATTATCCTAGGGAAATTAATAAGGGAACAGAAAACCAAATAACCACGTGTTCTTGCCTATAAGCGGGATCTAAACTTGGGGTCCTCATGAATATAAAGATGTCAACAGTAGACACTGAGAACTACTAGATGAAGGAGGGAAGGAGGAGGGCAGGGGGTGAGAAACTATAGGTGCTATGCTCACCATCTTGGTGATGGGATCAATTATATCCCACATAGCTCAGCATCACACAATATATCCACGTAACAAACCTGAAAACGTACTCCCTGAATCTAAAAAATTTAAAGCAGAGACAGAGTAAGAAGGCAGAATAGAAGCCTACCACACTCATCCCCCACACAAAAACACAAAATTTTCACAACTCACTACATTCAAGAAACACTGTCAAAGGGACCAAGAATTAGGTAAACAATCACAGTACCTGGCATTAACTTCATGTCACTGAAAGAGACATTGGAGAAGACAAAAAAACGACAGTCTAGAAGCACTAATGCCACCTCTTTTCCAACCACCAGTAGTGGCCACATGGTGCAGAGACTGTGTGTTTGCGGGAGGGAGAGCACAGTTTGTGAGGCTTTGCAATAAACTCAGTACTACCCTGTCACAGTGAAAAGCAGAACCAGATTATACTCAGCTGACATCTGCCAATAGAGGGAGAAATTGGATTGGCCCTAGCAAGAGGAAAATCTCCCATCTCAGTGTTGGGCGCTTGAGTCTTTACAAGCCTTGCCATCATGAGTTGACGTGATATTGGACCTTAAGAGAACTGAAGGGGCAATATAGGCCACAAAGGCTTCAATTGTTAGGCAAGTCATACTCTGAACTGAGCTCGGAGCCAGTGGAATGTGGACGGTGGGGAGAATGTGGCCTCCTGAGACAGCAGCCAGAACAGCTAAGGGAGTGCTCACAACACCACGTCCCCACCCAGCAGCAGCCACACAACACAGAGAAACCTGTGAATTTGGGAGAGGGAGAGCACAGTGACTGGGGGACTTAACATTAAAGTCAGTGCTGCCATGTCAGTAAAGACCTGGCAGAATTCCTCACCTGCTGACTGAAGAACCCCTGCACCCAGAATAAAAACAGTGATACCCAGGCAATACTCTGTGGGCACTGGGCTCTGAGAACCGCCAGCTTCAGGTGTGACCCAGCACGTTTCCAGCTGTGGTAGCTACAGTGAAAGACTTCTTCTGTTTGAGAAAAGCAGCGGGGAAAGTAAAGGGAACTCTGCATTGCACCTGATATACCAGCTCAGCCACAGTGGGGTAGAGCACCAAGCAGGTTCTTAGAGTCCCTGAGTCCAGGCCTAGGGGCTTGGTCAGCATTTCTGCACTTGTCCTGGGCCAAAGGTCGAGTTCCAGGCATTGCAGAATTTATCCCAAGCTAACCAAAGAGTCCTTGGGCTTTAAGTGAGAAATTGATGATGATTTGGCAGAATCCCCCCAACCCTGGGCCGGTGGTGTTGGCAGTCATGGAGGAGGCTCCTCTACCTGCAGACAGGGGAAGGAAGAGTAGAAAATACTTTGTCTTACACCCTAAGTGCCAGGTTAGCTACAGTAAAATAGAAGAGCAGGTAAATTTTGAAGATTCTGTGCTTTAATCTCTGGCTCCCAGATAGCATCTATGGACCCACTCGTGGCTAGGGGAACTTGCCGCCCTATAGGCAGAGACACAAACTTGGCTGGCTTTGCCATCTGCTAATCATAGAGTCCTAGGGCTTTGAAAAAACTTACCTGGTAGTCAAGTAGTGGTTACAGGGGGCCTTGGGTAAGACCAAGTTCTGTGCCTACGTCAGGTGTGAACCAGCACAGTCTCATAAATGGCTTAGCACCATCCCATTTGGTACTATCCACATGACAGGGAGTGAGCTCCCATAAGATCTGGTCATTTAAAAGCGTGTAGCAACTCGCCCCTCTGTTTTTCGCTCCTGCTTTTTGCTCTGTGATGTGCAACATTCTGCTTCAACTTTTGCCATGACTGTAAACTTCCAGAGGCCTCCCCAGAAGTGCATGCCAGTGCTATACCTTCTCTACAGCCTATAGAATCATGAGCCACTTAAACCTCCTTTTTAAAAAATAAATTACCCAGTCTCAGGTATTTATAGTGATGCAAAAATAGCTTACTACAGAAAATTGGCACAAAGGAGTGGAAAATTGTTATAAGAATACCTGAAAATGTGGAATCAGCTTTGTAATTGGGTAAACAGGCAGAGGTTGGAAGAGTTTGTAGGACTTAGAAGAAGACAGAAAAATGAGGGAAAGTTGAGATTTTCTTAGAGACTGGTTGAATGGCTGTGACCAAAATGCTGATAGTGATCTGGACAGTGAAGGCTGGCCTGAGGAGGTCTCAGATGAAAATTAGAAACTTATTAGGACCGAAGCAAAGGTCATGCATGTTGTCTTAGCAAAGTGGTTGGCTGAATTTTGGTCATGCCCTAGGGATATATAAAAGTTTGAGTTTGAAAGTGATGATTTAGGGTTTCTGTTGGAAAAATGTCTAAGCAGCAAAGCATTCAAGATGTGGCCTGGCTGCTTCTAACAACCTATGCTCACATGTTGGAGCAAAAAAAGTAAGTTATAACTTATTTTTACTTACAAGGGAAGCATAGTGTAAAGCTTGAAAACTTTGTAGCCTAGTCATGTGGCAGAAAAGTAAGAAGCTTTTATAAGAGAGGAACTCAAGCAGGCTGTGGAGCAACCACTTGTTAGAGATAGTTGTATAATCTAAAAACAAAACAAAACAAAAAAACCAGCAAGTGTTGGTACCAAGACAATGGGAAAGGGGAATTGAAGGCATTTTAGAAATCTAAAAGGCAGGCCCCCCATCAAAGGCCCTGAGGCCTAAAAGAAGAGAATAGTTTCTGGGGTCAGGCCCAGGACCTGCTGCCTTGGGTAGCCTTGGAACATGGCTCCCTGCATCCTGGCCACTGCTCCAGCTCCAGGTGTAGCACAAATTGACCCAGTTACAATTCCAGTCACTGCTTCAGAGGGTGCAAGCCATAAGCCTTGGTAGCTTTCATATGGTGTTAGGCCTATGGGTATACAAAATGCAAGAGTTGACACTTGGGAGCCTCCACCTTTACTTCAAAGAATGTATAAAAAAGCCAGGGTGTGCAGGCAGAAGCATGCTGCAGGGGTGGAGCCCTCATGGAGAACCTCTACTAAAACAATGCAGAGAAGAAATGTAGGGTTACAGTCCTGATGCGGGCTCCCCAATGGGGCATGGCCTAGTAGATCTGTGAGGAGAGGATCACTGTCCTCCAGACCCCAGAATGGTAGATATAGCTACAGCTTGCACCTTGCACCTGGAAAAGCCGGAAGCACACAATACCAGCCAGAGGCACACAACACCAGCCCATGAGAGCAGCTGTGGGGGCTGAACCATGCAAAGCCACAAGGTCTAAACATCCCAAGG